TTCCAGAAGCAGTTTGACCCTGTTTATGGAGTGGGGAGGGGAGGGGAGTGGGGGGGAGGGGGTGGGCGTTCGAACACATATGAAAGCGTCACAGCTCTATCCATAACCCATTCGCGACCAGGCGCGTTTTTCGAAAGTGGCTCGTTCGGACTGATGCATTTGCGAGCTCTCAAGAAGTGTCGGCCACCATGGTGGATACGGTCCCTCATGACCGTTTACTAAAATTTTTGGCACTGTTCAACTGACTGCTTTTTTGGTGAACCTCCGAACACAGGGGGGTTAGTTTGTGTTCAGGTTCCAAGGACTTTGATTCGTCCTCCGGCGTATTTTCCACGAAAACTTTGTAGACTTGCATATTGGGGATATTGGGGTTATTTGTGACTCAAATTGCGATACGACATCCTTTCCTGGCGTAAGGCGGAATCCACTTTATGTGGCCCCGGAATGGCGCCAACCAGTTTTGGCCGCTCACATCCTTCGCTGAAATCGGTATAAGCTTTCGCAATGGTGTTATTCGACATCCTGGATTTATTTTTCACCGTCGCTATTCGGTGTCAAAACGCCACTTGCACTCGCCAACTTGGCGCCACGACCTTTTCTGCTGAATCTGAAGCTGTTTTGCATTTGAGGGTAACTGGACGGAGGAGGGAGGGGTGAGCGATCACGATATTCGATGACAATATTATGATATTTATTTCGGTCCTTGTAGAGCATTTCACTTCGCTTCTTGGCATGAGCATCATGTAGCGCACTGCAAAGGCTGACTCTCGGAGGAGGAGTGATTCGCTCCTTAGAAGCTCAGCCTTGGCAGAGCGTAGATAACCATAGTGCCGTACCCTTGTGTAAAAATGAATGTCATATCAGTGATCAGGATGGCGAATAACCATAGCATCCATGTTTACAAACTTGGGTGGAAGAGCAGGCAATATTTACCCTTCACTGCTCCCATCATCCAAAATCAGGCCAGTTTTTGACCGACTTTTTCTCTGGGCAGAGTTGGCTAAAAAATCCTCTGGGAGAGTCTGAGCTCATGAACACGAATTCCCACCCCTCGGTCCGGACCCTCCAGACGCCCGCGCCTTTTGCGCTGGCGCTAAAACAAAATGGCGCTCAAGGCGCGGGCGCCAGGATTCGGGCCAGTCGGAAGTGATATTCGTGTTCAGGAGGTCAAACTTTGTGAGAGGTTTAAGAGACAACTTTTGAGTCTTTTCATCGAGAAAAAAAAAGTTGGTCTAAAACTGGTCTGATTCCGGATGACTATGGCGGTGAAGGGTAAATAGTGCCCATATTCGTAATCAGAGCAACAAAGGCGCTAGTACTCACCTTTGCCCAAAATTTGGTGAAAAAAGTAGTGGTGCGAAGTTGGTGCCAGCACCATTCTGGCGCGTAGTGACACCTGCACTAAGGATGAGTTTCATATTTGTAATCACGACATCAAACAACCCCACCACAGAAGTTTTCACGGTTTCGATGAAAAAAAGTGGTGACGCCAGAAACTGACATCATCTTCGTGATCAGGCACTGAGTTACCCGTACAGGCACTTTCCAGCAGAAATTTTTTTAGAGATGTCGGGCTCTGGTGCTGCTAGTCTAGTCCTGCACAGTGCCCTTACGGCCGAAGATCTCGTTGGTCCACTATTTGCTTAAAAAATGTCTTTAGAGTTGCTTCACTGGGAAAGTTCCCTTGAAGAGCCTGAATTGTTTCCAAAAATTTCATGAAAAGCCCGTCCGCCACATATGGTGGACATGGTCCGAAGTGGACATTTCGGTGTCCACCACCAGTGGCGGACATTGTCGCGAATAGGTTAAGCTCAGAGCGCCGACTAAAAGCGCCATCTCCTAAAAGGTTAGCTTTCGTATTGTTTTCCTTGAGAAGATTACTAAAGACCTTCAAATGGTGCTATCAGCAAGTATTGTTCCAGGTCTAATGATGAATCGATTTGATCATCCCCATTTGATGCAGTTGGTTGGCTTAGCGTTGACAGATGGAAAAATTCCGATAATTGTTGCTGATTTCATGGAGAATGGAGATTTGAGGTCATATCTTCGCAACGACTCAAAGGTGAGCTTCCTATCGTATATTTCTATATCTTTTTGTCTTTATGCAGCTAGTATGAGTACTTCATATGGAAATTTCTGCTCGCTGCCCCAATAGACCTCATTACCACACTACGTATTTAAGTATTGGAACATCACAAATTTTTTACTATTGTTGTCCGAAAAATTCCCAGCGTTTTGTGTTACTAACTCATTCTCCCTTGCGTCTCAGTAGTACATCCTGAAGAGAATTTTTGCGCTATCTGATGGTATAATTGCCGTTTCACCATTGCTTGATAAACCCCCTTTTCCCAAGACTTTTTGAAGCATGTCAAAAGAGCAACTTCGGACGATATTTTTCTTCAACTACAAATTGGGTCAATCCGCAGTCGAGACAGCTCGACAAATTAACCAGGTGTGGGGGCCCAATAGTGTTGGAGAAAGCACCGTGCGACAATGGTTCGACAAATTTCGTTCTGGAGATTTCAGCCTTGAAGATGAACCTCGTAGCGGTCGACCTAAAGCAATACCTGACGAGGATTTGAAGGCGTTTGTGGAGGCTGACCCATCCCAAACAGTTCGAGAGATTGCAGAAAAGCTAGGCGTTGGCAAATCCACTGTTGCGGATGGTCTGAAACGCATTGGGAAGGTGAAAAAACTCGACAAGTGGGTGCCCCACAATTTGAGTGACCGGCAGAAATTGGCACGTCTCGAGGTTTCTTCTTCACTGCTTTTGCGCAGAGTCCTACTGTGGAGAAATCGACGAAATGTACCGAAAATTGCGTCAGTTCAGCCAGCTTACCAGCATTCACAAATCACTATCCATAAATTGAACGAATTGGGGGTTGAAGTTCTACCTCATATTCTCCAGACCTTTCACCAACCGACTATCACCTTTTCAAACATTTTCAGAACTTCCTTGCTGGAAAATACTTCATCAATCAGGACCAGGCAAAAAAGCCTTCGTGGATTTCGTGGATTCTCGACCACCCAGTTTTTTCTTGATGGGATTTCTCGACTGCTGTCACATTGGCAAAAGTGTGCTGATTCGAACGGTGCCTATTTCGATTAAATCCGATGAGTATTAAGAAAGTTATGATCGTTTAAAGTGAAACACTCAAAACGCTGAGATTTTTTCCTAATACCCCAACCTTATTGCACCTTGAGAAGAACTTTCTAACCATAAGAACAACTTTTAGTCCTTCCAAGAACATGGGGCACTCATAAGAAAGGCTCAGTTCGTATTACATGTAGTGAATGTCACCCAGCGTCGTAGCTACAGTGCATCTGCTAGCTGCTCACTCATTTGAAAAGGACGAAGTCATGTTAGGACACCTATTGTAGCCGGGCGCAGCTACAGAAAGTACGTTTCTAGGTGATTCTTTGGTAACCAGCATTTTTCCAGAATACACAAGAACTTTCGTTCAGCAAGAATCGAGATGCTGTCATATTTAATACACGCAGTGTATTAAAAAATTCTTTCAAACGAATTGTGCACTCACCTTCGAGAACGGTCCTTGTCATGTGCGAGACGAATATCTGCAGCTGCAGTACCGTGCCACTTTCCCTGCCCGAAAATGCACGAGAGCGAGACTGAAAGGTGCCGCAAAGATTCCCGCTGCAATATCCTCAAAGTGCAGCACTTGTGTCAGTTCGGAATGCCGCATCGAAACATGCGCTCAGTGGAAAGAACAACCAGAATTGAGAGAGCATAGCTTGTACGGCTATGGTCAGCCGTGGCTGGCAACGTGGGCGGAGCATGGAAACAGCCCTCGATAATCGCTATCCTCTAGCCTCGCTCCCGCGCACTTTCGTTCGATGAAAGTGGAGTGCTACTGCAGCTGCAAACTATTACATCTCACTTGTAACTTTTCTCCAACGCCGCCATTTCCACATCCATTTCACATATACCGGATGTGTTCACAGATAGGCAGTGACACACTGACACACTGTTTGTCTTCTTAGCCACGCCCAGTTCAGAGAGCTTTTTGTATTTTTTTCTCAAGTTTTGGTTCTGTTACTCATCACCTTTTTTAGTTTTACTAGAAATTCTCGCCCTTTTATAGGCGAGAATTTCTAGTAAAAGTCGCCTATAAAACTCGGGAAACCTCCGTCCACCTTTGTAAGATGCCCTTGTTTGGTTGTATAGGGCCACTCTTCCCTTGGAACAAGCCGAACAAGTTTGTGGCGTCAGCTGGCGCCTACGAGCGTAAACTGGCGCTGGCGCTACAAGCGAATGCTGCATTCGTGACCATCACCTGTATCACCTGCGCTCCCGTTGATCACCTCGAGCGGGCGCCAGTAACGTCTCTATTCGTCCCTGCAACGTGCAAGAATTGCCCAATGGGTTCTTTCTGCTCGAGGGACGATGAACTTCATACCATTCGTTCAGAGCTTTCACGAAGAAGTCTGACCATCGCGTAGGCGGTCGTCCAGGTGTTCGCTTGACATCCCGTGGAATCCAGTCGGTAATCGCTCTGTACGGCAGTGGTAAAATCACCACACATACAAATAAGACTTGTCAATAAAGCAGCAACACACTAGCTGGGGAAGGAAGTTAGATCAACACGGAATTGAAATCACAAATGACTTAAATCGCCCGGTGAACTCGGAGTTGCTCGATATCTACCACTTCTCCGAGCAGCTGATTTAATTTCTCTTATCTCTATCACATTCGCCTTCTAGCAAGGAAAGATTGTGGCGCACCAGCGCGACGCCTACCAGCGGCAACCCAGCTAGATACCGCTACAAGTTATAGACCTCTACGAGCTATTCGGCTTCGATGATGTGGAGAGACTGGATGAAGGTGGCAGTTACGGCATGCCGTCTCTCCCAAGTGTATATGACTGTTGAAAGCCCCGCTAATTGGCACGTAACAAAAGCCGTAGCCTATTTGCTTTTTAAGCTTTCAGGTTATCACTCTTCGAAACCTTCTACGTTTTGCATGCCAAATTGCGGAGGGTATGGAACATCTGCATACCTGCAGATCTGTCCATTGTGATCTCGCTGCAAGGAATTGTATGTGAGTCGCACAATTTTCATATTGTCTACTTCATGTGGCATGAATAAAACGAGAGATCACTTGGGAATTTTGCTGTAGGGTAAGCTTTTAAGGTTGGACGCTGATCTCAACATAAAGATTGGTGATTTTGGATTGTGTCGACGGGTTAATGACGAGAGCGAAGCTTATGAGCCGTCTATAAAACGTAGAGACGTCCCATTCCCATGGATGGCCCCGGAGGCGATAGTCTCCGAAAAGGTAAATTAAATGTTTTTATACAGTTGTTATCGCTATTGTGGATTGCGAATATACAGCAGCAGCAGTACCACTATCTTCGCAGCTTGAAAATTGTAGGATGAAGGCAAAATCGCTTCGCATTTACCAGATGCCCTGTGCTTGAGTTGTGTCGTCACGCCTGAGATGTGCTTTTTTAGTATGGCTGCGTACTTCTCGTTGGGAGCACATAACTTATGACCAGTTCCTCTTGCCTGTCCGCTTCCTCGTTAATTCAACGAAACTTACAACTAATTACTCAGATAACCAGAACTGCTGGTTTTTATTTTGAGATTCTGCATTAATTGCCTGAGAAGGTACTCCACCACAGTGAAGCAAAGAAGTATTTTCAAACTGCGTCCAACAAGGAATCACAAAATGAGTCCCGCTGCTGCAAGATCCGAACCCAGGTGTTTGCTTATGCTTGAATGGGCCGAAGCGAGTTATTCGCGTATGTTCGAGGGGGACAGTCGCGAATTTTTTTTCTACAGTTACTGTATAGTAGAAAAGCGCATAGTACGTATGGTTTATGGAGTATTAGTAAGTGAATGTTGTTCTGTTCTGTTCTGAGGCTCGATCTGTCTCGAGTTTCGTACAAGACAAGGGTTCCCGTCTTTTTTTCAACAGTTCATTACAGAAAAGTTCAAAAGACGTGAAAAAAATTACAGCAGTCCTTGCAGTGTTTCATAGTGGAAAACTAGATGAAGCAGGAAAGATTAGTCTGAATACTGAGTCGAGGAGAAAGTCCTATTACAGTTTGAGTCTGGCAACTGCGAACAAGTCGAAGGGGATGTTATTGCGTTCCACGGGAATTGTGCCGGAAGATCTTTACATATCAGTGTGGGAAGACTCTGTCATGAGGGAAGGGTTATGGTTTCCGTGTAGCCAAATATTATACAAATACAAATACTTTCTGACCAGTTATCTTGGTTGGGGCCCACGACATTTTGAAGAAAGGATTAGCTAAGAAGACCTGCGGTAGTTCGAAAGAGATGGCGTTCATTGTTCCACTTGCGGTTGCTGGACCACTCAGGAAGGTATTTCTTACCCGATAGCTTTCAGCGCGCCCTTCGTTGCAAAACGTGTCACACAGCGTCTGCTTAGAGGCCGCCGCTCTTTTTCTACCAAGCATGCTTATCCTTTACGTCTAGCCACCTTGCCCGCTGTCTTCAGTGGTGTATCAAGACGTGAGTATCATTTGGGGCGTCCTACAGCGCACAAGGAGTATATAAAGGAGGGGGTCGCCTCAGGGGCATAGGGTGCATGAAGGGGAAGGTCGCTTCAGCGGGAAGGAAGGGGGAGGGGGAGACGCAAGCATGGGGCGCTACAAATTGACGGTTTTCTCATGATCCGTAAAAGTTGTTGAGGCAGTTCCAAGAGGCAGAACAGAAAAAAAAACATGCGAAAGGCGAGGCTTTTGGTAATATCTGCAGAACCTGGTTGCCAGTAAAGTACTTCGATCCCATGCTTGCTATCATGTGAAGGACGCGAGTGGTAGTCCGGTAATATGCGGTAGTAAGAGACCCAAGAGGGGCTCACTCAGCCCTACAATCACAACACATAGAGTTAATGCACCTTGCCGACTTGACGAATTCTCTGGTTAGTTCCGATCGCTTAGGTATTCGGAGTGTTCTCGACATGTCGTCGGAAACGTTAGAGAGAACAGAGAACATTGGTCAGGTTGGTTGAGTGAAATTCAGGAGCTTATAGCCGATTTTGGCCTCTTAAAGGCATGAAGCGCAGAAATTTGGTGCAGGGGTGCTATGTAGAAGGGAAGCAGCGAAAAAGCGACATGAAACGGTCAGAAACCTGCGAGGAAGGCCTTCCATGTCTCAGATTCCCGTAGGCATCGTGCCAATAACCGTAGACACGGCTGCACGTACGTACTCGTATTCCATGCAGCACGCGGCCGCTTCATATCAATCCCTTCGCTTCATATTTTACTTCGCAAATGAAGCAATACGAGCATCAAACGGTCGTCCATTTGTGGGCGGGCGGGCGCGATGGGCGTCCGGGTCGGTATGTTGCTGCTCAATAGGACGCTATAACTTCCTGCTATTCTTATTAACCCTACTCGTCTCAGAAATTTATCGTGTCAACTGCCTTTAATTACCGCCGTGCCCTGTTGCCACAGTTGTGCTCCCACCTCATCCAATATATGGTAAGAACGTTACCATGCGTTTGCGCAGACAGCGCTGGAGAAATCATGTGGCAATTGGAAGAAACAGTTGAATAGACATTCAAAATGCAACTGGCGTCATTCTATTCGCGAATGATCATGACGATTTGAATTACTTCCATTGTAATCAACTTTCTGTTCTTCCTTGGGATGACTTTGAGGGAAGCTAAGAATCATAAGTGAGATAGTTTGACGGCTTCCGTCAACACATTTTATTTGACCAACAGAGCGCACACCTTCCAGTTCGTCGCATTGTTTTAAAAAGGCGGTCGATCTTAGTCTTCTTCATTATAAAACGGAACTGAAAGATTTTATTTCAGTTCACATTCCAAAACGATGTATGGGCTTATGGTGTCGTGCTTTGGGAGCTCACTACCCGTGGATTGACGCCGTACAGTGGCAAAAACGGCCTCGAAATCCTCGATTTCTTGCGAGCTGATAAGCGACTTGAAATGCCTGAGTATTGCCCTGCACAGTTGTAAGTTTTTTCTACTAGTTTTGATCCTGGTTGCCTTATTTTATTCTATAAGAAATGATGTCAATCGTTACGTTGTGACATCTCTATCCTAAAGGCGCGGTCCGCGATCAGGTATCGAAGTTGAAAGGAGGGCGTTGGGGGGGAGGTCCGCGACGAACAATTATGTACCGGTTTCGCGGCAAAAAAAAGTAAGGGAGGGGCGCTATAACGCAAAATAGGTTCAGTGACGCCTCCTTAATTCCAGTGACTCCGCCTCCAAGGTCCTCCTTTCAGTGAAAAACGAAGCTGCAGGACGAAAAAGCATGAAAGTCGTCACTTGCGCGGTCGTGGGGTGCGGATGAGGGCGTAGTGTTGAAGACAGAGTTCACAAACTGGGATTGGAATGAGGTTGTATCTGGGACCGTTGGCATGTTTTTTCTTTCTTCTCCTTTATCGAATTACTCGGCACCTTTTCGTCTGTATACAAACCCTAAGTCCACTATCTGTGACGGTGAATGATCGCGGGCTTTACCTTTAACACGACATCGTTGTTCGAAAAACCACTGAGGCGCCCATGGTTTCTGGAACGTTTCTTGATTGTTGACTTTTCTTGTTCCAAATACGTTTTATGTCCCCTCCTCCCTCCCCCGTTCGACTGGTATGGTAGCAGATAAAAGAATTTGTTCATACATTTACCCTGCGATATGTAATACCAGTCGGATCGCCCAGGTGTCACAGGGCGCCTTCTTGTGTGCGGGTCTGGCTTCGTCGAGCCGACCTGGCTTGGCCGGACGCTAATCCTTTGTGTGAGCTAGAATGAAAAAAGTGCTCGAAAAGATCATAGGGCACTACGAAAGAGAATACAGGCAGGAAAAACGCAAACATTTTTATATCGTACACCTGCGTATATGGAATACCTCTCGCTAATTCCATTCTTTCGGTCGTGGTCGCCTCGAACCCGAAAGCGTTGAGAGATCGCAGAAAAGTCCATGACGAAAATGAACGTCTGGCAAGAGTCCACCATGTTTGCGGCGTGCTGAGGCCCGCCCACAGTGGGCGGGGCGTGCATTTGAGCACGAGGAACAGTATAAAAAGTCGTAGTTTGGTCCTAAAGCACTGCAGATGGTGCCAAAAAGTGGATTATGGTCCCCAAGTGATCAAATGTAAGGAATGTGCGAGGCACTCCCGTTGTGGGCGGAGCCTGCCGAGGTGGGTGGAGCCAAATTTAAAAATTCGCAAAACGGTTCCAGAGCACTCCAGACACTGGGAAAAAGTAGTTTGAGACCAGCGAGAGGTTATAAGTTGAGAAGCGCGAGGCATATGTCTGGGCGGGGCGTGCGTCTAGGTGGGCGGGGTTAGTCCTCAAAATTCTTCCAGCGTTTCCAGAGCACTCCTGGCACTGAATGCTCGACTAATACCCGGCTTTCTATCCACTCGCCTCTTAAAACCATTCCATACACCGTAATAGTGTTGAAAATGTGGAATATGAACATGCTATTGGTCAAAAAATGTCAGCCATTGGTCAAAAAATGTCTGCTTAAATAAAAGAAAAGCCGGATACTAGGTGCGTATTGAAATGTGTGGAAGAAGATACCCGCTCTGTGAAGCCGTGCTGTATCCCAGAAAGAGGCGCGCCGGCGTTAGCCATCGAAACCGATGGTCGTTGTAAAAACACAAGAGCCAGAATTCTGAGAAATTTTGATTTTCTTGATTTTCCCCTCAATAGCGCAATATACTAATAGTGGTAAGAAGTAGCACGTAATGTAGTGAAGACGATCTATCTGTTTTTATGAATTGATATGATCACTTTTCACCCGTTATGAGTGTCCCTCACCGAATCTTCATAATTAGACAGTGTAAAAATTTCACCACGTTGAACTACGACGACAACCGCAACTCCCCTATCAGCCCGTATCAGTTCTTATCGCCTTTTGTCACCCACCCTTGACGTCTCCATTTCACCCTTTTTGTCTCTTGCCGTGCTAAATCAACGCCGTGCTAATGCTGCGACCCTCAGTGAATTTGGCGACTTCCTCTTCTACAGCCTCTTAATTGGAGACTATCAGCTGTGATTTCCACCATCAAATTCACAAACACATTTTACACTATCGCAAAGCTTCGCCACAGCCTTCTGGACAAACGTCATCGAAAGATTCTGCCACGCGACCGTGATTCGGTGCCTGAGCTTGGGGAAGTCGTTATCTCTGCGTCACTATAGACCACGCTGTTGAGCTCCACCCAAACACTGTAATCGAGGGGACTTGGTCACGTGGCACACTTGGATATTCCGTCTTCTTCGGGTAATCAACGCCCTTCGTTCATGTAGGCTTGAGAGTTTTCCACGCCCTTCGTTGCTGTGCTGACACATCCTTGTGGCAGAGCAGAATGAAGTTACCAGCGCTACAGGACATGGAAGCATATACTCCCACGCTGGTCGATGAACCGTCAGCTTCACTTCCAGTCCGGATTTGTCGGGCCATCCTATCCAGGAGCACGAGCTACCATCAATCCGCGCCTTGGCGACTGTGGGGAAGATGATGTCCTAGACCGTAGCGACGTTGTCGGAGCTGCTCGATGTTGGAGGTCTCCCATATCAAGGGTGTCGGTCCTCAGGTCCATGGGTGACTCGACAAGAAATTTCGCAGCTGTTTGGAGGTGACGTGAACTTCCATAGGCCTTCTTCAGTTCGGCTGCGATTACGATGGCTTCATATTTTGGTGTACATGAAGGTGATGGACGAGAGCCTGCTCCTGCTTATCGAGGAACATCTTGGGTATCTTCCGCCCTGGTTCGTATCCACGTCTTCTCTCTAGGCTGCGAAAACTGTACTGATATGTGACTCTGGCGAAGTGCCTTTCTTTGCCCCCAACCCTCTATATTAAAAACCCCTTGTTAATTAATATGGTTGCCTATCACCCGTTAATCCCCCTATCACTGAACATTTGTGATTAGATATGAAAGCTCTATAGTTTAGTTTGTTGCGGACGAAGGGGCGTGTCAGTGCGTCTGCGTTTGCCGCGGTGTCAAACCCGCTCTCCACCAGTTTATGAAGCGAGCAAGTGACAAGACTGTATCATCTCGTTCGGTATCACTCGTTTTCTACTAGTCATTGTCGCATCGCCGCTTCACAACTGAAAGAGAGCGGGTTCGGCGCTGTGGTACACTCATACTGCCTGACACGCCCTTTCATTCGCGAGGAAGTCCACCATCCGGCGTAAGGAGAAAGGACCGCGAACACGCTCCTCATCAGTTCCTATCAGCAGATAAGCTCCTGCCAATCGATGTCGTCATCTCATCCTTTATATCACTTACCGAATCCAGCCCTGTTTTGAATAATCGTTAGTTCGTTGCAGGTACACTCAAGTGATGCTTCCATGTTGGCATGCTGATCCAAATTGTCGGCCAAATTTTTCTAAAGTGTTGGTTCTAGTCAACAACCTAATTACATGGATGGAGAACAGCCAGTCTAATCGACTTTATATGTCCTATAAAAAGGTGCGTCACCTGCTGTTCCTTAAGTGTGTAATTTTACTTTTTGCCACTTTCTAAAGCTTTTCGTTTCTCGTTTAATTTTTCAACATTGTCGTGTACCTCTCCCTTACTACATGTCCTAGTTCCAGTGGTATGACATCTAATTCATAGTTACAGATTTGTCTTTTGGTGATTTGCCCGTTTTTACTCGCGCTGAACGACAGCGTTCAGGGACATTCAGCATTGCGACGTGTGAAATAGCGATGTCACAACGATCCACTATGACACCCCCCCCCCCCCCTGGCGGAGGGTCCCGGTACCACCCTCCCTTCCGGCTCCAATCGTTGGCTCTGAGGACCAGATATGTGACTTTGCAAGGATCGCAGGCGTGTTGCGCTCCCAGCATAAATAGCAGGGACCAAGAAGGACATTTTATTGTTTACTCATGATCGTCTTTTCGCGACATCGATACGACCAGAGAAGCCGCACCTGAAAGTGTGTAGTGCGACCTGTTACTATGTTTTTTGTTTATTTGTTTACTAGCACTTACGTGCACCATCGACAGCAAAAAAGAACATGAATATTAAGAGCATACCAACTCAAAGGCAAAGGTCAAACCACTGGCAAATCAAAC